CAGCAATCTTGTTGTGGGTTAAGCCAGTAGAAGAAATCATCTATCCAGCTAGCCGTTGATCCTGAGATATACGAAACATTGGACCGCTTCGACTCCTGTTCGAGCACAAAGGGCAAAGAGAATTCCTCGCATGTTGTAAAACGTCCGCATAGCTGTTGCTGGTGGTGACGTTGAGTGACATTTACGTTGCGTGTCACGAAATAAACCGGGGGGCCACTTCCAAAGTAAGCGTTCAAGTCGTCGAAGTATTGGATGAGATAAGAGTCGCTTGGAAGAGCGATGCGTTGATCCAGTCCAAGAGCCACCTTTGGGATCAAAGCAAGTCCCGCAGTCAGGAGGCCAAGAAAGGTAATCACGACGATGACTTTGACCCTACGTGCAAGGAGTGAAGATGCATACACCTTGCGTATAAAGACCTGCAAAGCGCTTTCGCTCTCCTGGTGATCGAGAAGCTGGTCTTCAGACATGCCGGAATGCGCTTTGCGAACGGTCAGGCACGGGATGCAATCGGCGCGGAGGCTTTCGACGCGTCTCTGGTTCAATGCCAGAACCGAAATGAACATGGTGATTTGCAAGACTGCGTTGATGAAGACTGCACCAGCGGCATAAACGGCAAAATTCCTCACAGCAGGCATTCCTACAAAGACTCCCATGACGAAAGCGACAGTCTCTGTAAGTGAAGATAGGAAGATACTGGGACCAATTCGGCCCACAGCACGGGCGATCCTCTCATCAATCTCTTCATCCGGATGACTCACGTTGATCCTTTCAAACTCGTGAACAATCAAGAAAATATTGTCTACACCCACTGCCAGAACGAGGAATGGAATGACCTCGGCAATGATTAGGGTGACCTTTATGCCAGCTGCAGAAAACAGCCCAACTGACGCTGAAACCGACATGAGAACGATAAGGATACCGACGATGCCCAGAGTGAACTTGGACTGGACCAATGCGTTTGCAGGATTAGTAAACAAGGATTTCCACGTAACTGTGACCGAACCCAAAGCCATGGATGCGTATAAGAACATGATGATATAGCTGATGACCACGATTTTTGCGTCGGTGTTCGTGGACTTGTTCAACTCTTGCTCAACGCTGATCTCGGTGTTGAACGAGACACGTAGTCCACGCTCCTTAGCTTCTTCTTGTACCACTTCCAGGATGCGCCTGAGGCTATTTTCCCAGTCAATGGCATTAGCTTCACCTTCTGTCCCCTGCGCGTGGTTGTCCACAACCCAAGTTGTGATCAGGGCTTGGGCGTCTAAGACATCTCTTGATTCTCCATAGCCACCCAGGATCATTTCTGGCCTTAGTGGTTGTCCGAAGTCTGGGAGACAGCTCACGTCACCTGGTGAATCCGCGCAATGCTTAAGTCGAGCTTCCCACGTGTCTGGGTCTAGGTTTGCCACCGATCCTCCAAAGTAGCCCGTCAGAGACTGGATGACACAGGCTTCACCGGTTGGCTTAGTGCAAATGTCATCGAGAATTAACCCTCTGTCAAGAGAGATCATGCGGTGCACACGAGACTCCACATCAAACCACCAACTCAAAGTGTCATAGCTCAAAACGCTCCCATCCCCTGACGATGTGTCATTAACGAGAAACGCTTGTTCTGCCCTGTAGAACGGTCCAAAATTGGCATCGAAGTAGGCCTTTTCTTGTGCCGCTGCTGATGTTGGACTGACCCAGAGACGAACTGGGTCGGTCTCCACGGCGAATCGGAACCAACCAAGACTCAACAGACCGACCATGAGAATACTGCACGCAATTGTAATGCCGGGAAATCGAGCACAGGCACCACCAATGCTGTTGAATATCCTGTCCAGCACAGAGTTCAACTTATACACACCATTGGGTTGCTCAATATAACCACCTGCGCGAACAATATCACCTTCGTCCTCATCGTCACTGGGGGCGGGATCCTGCAACAGTCTGACGCGTTCGGGTTTCCGGTAGCGGCGTTCTCGGTAGGTGAAGTAGCTGGAGAAAGCGACGATAACCAGTAAGAAGACCGAGTAAATGAGGATGACAGCAAACGACAGACAAGGCAATAGGCCAACATGGCAGTACTTGTCCGTTTCCAAGGCAGGTAGCTCCGGGCATACATCGGGGCAGTCAACGCAAGAACAACGGAATGCCTCATCCGCGTCGTTGCACGCCTTCGGCTTGATCGGCAGTGGCTTCATTCCTTCAGGATCAGGGCCAGCAGGCTCGGTCTTGAAGTTAATCTGAAATGGGCTCCCTAGGAGCTTTTTGTCACCCAAGAACTTCAGAAACTGAGTGTAGTTCTTGGCACCGCCACCGATGAAGTCGATGGCTTTACCACCTGAAGCGCCATTCTTGACATTCTTGCAGCTGTCATAGAACCCGCTTTGATACTCTTCCGACCAAATGTTATCAATTTCGGTGACAAGTTGTTTTCCGCCCCGGGCCTCGTCGATATCGGTGACGTTGACGAACAAGGACTGGTCTGGGGAGCAGGTGAACGTGCAGAAGATGTTGAAGAAATTATCCTTGCACGCAGGACAGGACGCGATGATACCTTCGGCGAGTTTTAGATTTTTGGAAAGAGCGTCGATCTATAGCACGACAAGTCAGCAGCGTCCAATGATCCGAGGATGTGGGGCGTCCATGGAGCTTACTTGCTCATCCAGACAGCAAACAGGACCTTCTTCCCACTTGCTGCCACAGAGGTCTACCAGCTTCTTTCTCACCGCTGCTTCGGGCTCCTGTGCCAGGCCATTGTCCGGACAAGGAAGCTCTCCACCGAAGAATGACTTCTTCCCGCAATGGCCTCGGATCGCACAGCGACCAGGTTCATGGATGTTGGTGAAGCCTAAGCTCGGTTCGTCCCGGGCCCACGACTGAGGGAGAACGCCAAGACTTGCGATGAAGGGGATTAAGCGGAGTCCCCGCATGATTGGGGGCGTAGCCGGTCAGAGAAGCAAACGGGACGATCGATTACATTCAACAATGATGAGATAAGGCGTGAAAGAGTTGAGGGATGGGAATGAATGAGTCGGAGTTGGAGATGAGAGGAAGTAAATAGAGGAGGCGCAGGTCGGCAGGGAGCTTCCGGGATGACGATAAGCGGCGATGTACGTAAGCGGCGGTGGTTGGCCTCACCTGTCGGGCGCTAACGTCAGGCACTCCCCGCGATCATCCAGGAACTCTGTCAGGGACTATCAAACGGACCAGAGTTTACCAGGGCATAATGCGGACCTTATACGAGTAGGTTTGATCGGCTGAGCTAATTTTCTTATTCTACAATTAACCCGAGCAATTTGCATGATCCCTGACACAGAGTTGTGTGCTTATGTGTACTATAGTATATATTGCCGACTTGATCGGACTTAAGACTCACTAGACCATCAACTAATACTCGTCATGCGACACTCACCTGACCGAAAGATGGTCGCACTACTAAATAAGTCGGATGATGATACGTGGCCAGGTTGACCAAGTTGTCTTCTCTGCTGCCTCTCAGCAAGGGAGGACCGTCCATTTGGCAATGGCTACTATTAACATAATGACTGTGACATGTCATCACCGTCCCAAAGCTCCGATAAGGTTCGCTTAGAGCACTACTACCTGAAACAGCAGATCAACTAGAACGGCCTAGGCGACTGCGCCCTATCGGTTCATACTAGTAGGCTGTTAATCACACTGTCCTGGCCACATCGCACCTGTGTTGAACATTACTGGATCACGCAACCTTACAACAGAAATAGGTTTTTGCATTCAGTCACTACCCGAAGCAAGGGCTGACGGCTCATGCTCTTCCCATCCATTGTGCAACCGTCAGCCTTGTCCATCCCATAAGGATTGAAACCTGCTTCCCTGCTTCCTACAAAATACTCCGCAGCTAACGGCCACAATATTTCTATTGCTTTCTCAATCTCAACACACCGCCGTAACCTCAAGCTTAATCACTCATTCTTGGCTGCTCACTCGCGTTTTATTTCTATGTGCCTGCAAGAACGCCGAGTCACACTCTGGATCGCAGCTGAGATTACATACTAGTACATCACATGGAGCTCAAGTATATGTGATCATGTGTTACGGGGACTGACAACATAATAACAGGGTTACGGCCCTGCACCAATCCCGATTGATGCGTAAGAGAACACTACAAAGGTCTACCATGAGGATCTGCTTCAGCGATGAACACATATAGAATTTCACGTCTGGAATGCGGTAGGAGACTTGATACCACTTTCAGAATCCGAACAATAACACAAGCTGATGGCTGACAGTTTAGCCATTCACATGTGCCAAATATTTATATTGCAATTATCACTATTCTTAGTTGCTTGTCCATAGGCAAACCAGCCCCTGATTCCCATAGAACAGCCTGAAAGAGAGGATTACATCTATAGGCTTGTTTATAGGTGTCACAGGCATTCAAGACAAAGCAGATCTGCACCAATGAGCCTGTCTCAGAGACGCGAGGGAAGTAATACCCATGACTTAATTGGATGAAAGGTCGATAAATCACACCATCCAGGACCACAGCACAAACGCGACCGTAGTGATGGGAGATCTATGTGATGGTAATGCAAGATCTTGATCAAGGGGCTACGAGAGGTATATGAATAGGAGGCACAAGTATTTCCTCGCGCGTCGATAATGTCGCACCAAAGAGCCTAAGAGATTGACCTTTAGAACGACAGCAGATATACTCTCTCAAGTCACAAGATGAGATCAATTACCAAGGCTTCATCGGAAGACGGAATGTCGACCTTGGTGACAATTAATTCTTCCTACTGTTTGGAAAGCTACCCTGTGAACCCGAACCACCTTGTCAAGCTCATTGAGGATGCGACCAACCGACTTAAAAGTCGTGTTGTGCGTACGCCAACGGTCCCTCTGCACTGGATGAGCAATCCATCAAGGCGTGTCTATGCCAAACTAGAATGTCATTAACATACTGGCTCCTTCAAATTTCGGGGCGCTTTGAATGTCACAGAGGTGACGAAGGCACAGTCTGTCGTAACAGCATCCGCAGGGAACCACGCATTAGGTATCTGTTGAGCCACTAAGATGCTAGGGATGATCTTAGATCCGCACTATCTCATGTTGCTGATGTTGCTTACCCCACCCAATAGACAATACGGCTGGGGCCATGGTGGAGCTTTGGTGACAACTGATTTCATCGACGGGACGTTGAACAACAAGGAAGGGCTGGACGCATGCCTTGAGTTTGTTTTATAATTATCAAGGAGGGCAGGCTGTCCTATCATGAAAGGTGCTGGATCTGGGTACTCTGCTTCTCGAATATCGGCCAGTTCCACCATGGCAGAGGACTCGGATCCCTTCTTGCGCATCTCTGTTGGGATAGAGAGTGGCGAGGTTGACGCTTTGGTTGTTGTGGTCACTAGAGCGGCGTTGCAGTATGTGAAGAGATACTCAGGATGAGACATATAGCTCGTTGATGAAGGACGTCTGTTATGTTGTTACGGTAGTTTTATGCCCCTCTACACTGCATTTTGCAATGTTTGGGGTCATGCATTTTCATTTGGACGGGCTGAGTGGAGCTGTGGGGTAGCAGATTAGAACAGGTTGGGGCACGGCGCTACTAAATAATTAGTCCGTCCCACACTTATAGGGCAGATCAAGACCTAGAAGAGTTGTCTATACCTCGTAGAATTCTAAGCTATTCACGATACCAACTTTTGATGTTTGCATCAACTGCGTACTTGACAAAGATGCTGCTGGTACATGGATTCACTAGTTACCGCGGCAACGTGATGTAGCTCGCATGACATGCTTACACATCGGCTTTCTACCAGTTCCCCAGCATAGCTCATGATGCACAAAGAGCCTCAAATCTATCAATTCTTGTCGGTTTGTCCAACAAAGAAGCACAGTCACCGCAAAGGATCTAACCATGGTGACCGTCGCGCTTGAGACTCGGTTCAAGCACATGGCCATTGTCGATGAGAATGCTCACGATAATGCGAAGCTTCACCAGAAAGCCAAAGTACGTTCCATCTAATCAACCATTAGCCAAGTATGAGTCCACAATTGACGACAGAAAGCAGAGTGCAACTTCGAATACACGGCCGGTGAACCGAGTTCTACGACCCAAGAAGTCCGACGCTGTTCCTCATAATACTACAACCACGAATTCTACCGAGACCGCGTCAACAAACATCCAACGAACTCCATCGAAGACGAGACATCCTCTCGCCTCGGTTGTATCGCAAGACACAAATGATGCTGCAAATCAAGATGACCTAGATATCACTACCAATTCCAAGAACCAACCCGCGCGTCAAAGCTCCGCACCCTCCCAACCTCCCCGACAGAAAGAAAGACAATCATCTACATCACAAGCTCGCCATCCTCTCTCCGTTCTATCCCAAGCACCAAACGCCGCAGTGAAACGCGAACAACACTCCACCAAGCTCACCAAACAACCAATGCCCAGATTATTACATCTAGGCATGTTCGAAATCGGCAAAGCGCTGGGCAAAGGGAAGTTCGGACGAGTCTATCTTGCTCGGAAACGAGACAGCGGGTTTGTTTGTGCTTTGAAGGTACTTCACAAGAATGAGATCCAACAAGGGAGGGTAGAGAAACAAGTGGCTCGTGAGATCGAGATTCAGAGTAATCTGCGCCATCCGAATATTCTTCGGCTTTTCGGACACTTCCACGACAGCAAACGCATAATCCTGATTTTGGAATTTGCGGGAAAGGGAGAGCTATACAAGCACTTGCAAAAGGAGAATCGGTTTCCGGAATGGAAGGCTGCGCAGTACATTGCGCAGATGACGAATGCTTTGCAGTACTTACATCGCAAGCATGTCATCCATCGGGATATCAAGCCTGAGAATATTCTTGTGGGGATTCATGGAGAGCTGAAGATGTCGGATTTTGGCTGGAGTGTCCATGCACCAAGTGGTCGCAGGCTTACGAAATGCGGGACGCTGGATTACTTGCCTCCTGAAATGGTTGACCCGAAAAAGTGCGATAAGCCGTATGATCAGAAGGTGGATTTATGGTCCCTTGGGGTTCTATTGTATGAGTTTTTGGTTGGGAGCGCGCCGTTTGAGGATACACCTGTCATGACGCAGAGAAGGATCATGAAAGCGGATATGGTAATACCTTCTTTTGTGAGTCTTGAAGCCAAGGACCTTATCAGGAAGGTAAAGCAACCGTTCTCTCTTTCATGGTTCAGCAGTATACTAACGATCTCTAAGCTTCTTGTGACTGATGCGGATAAAAGAATCACTCTCGAACAGGTCCGACAACATCCTTGGATTATCAAGTACTGCTCCCGACATACAAAGGAGGAAAAGAAAGAAGATGTACCTGGTCAAGAATCCTGAGTTAATAATAATACCCATTCGGGTTAGAAGCCTCATATACTGCTGGCAGTAATCCACTATATAATAATAGATAGCTGGACTAGACAAGTCCGGACATTTGTTCTAATCTTCAGCCACTGGCACTTGCTCCATGCCCAGTCTCTTTACACATACTAGTAAGCATATATAGTACCGTATAAATGTACTCAATCTTGGCTCAAGCGAGTCCTGATATTGACATCGAGCATGTCTCTGGACTAAGGGACAAAAACACCACCACATTGCCTTCCTTCTGTATCACTTATTCGCTCTCTTTCAATGCATCAGAACAGAAGGCGGTTACAAGCAGTCACCCAACAGCCAGCCGGGTGGTAAAGGTAATAAAGTTTTAAGAACGTATAAAGTCCTTTTCATACAATACAGAAATAACCCTTTCCACCTTCAAAATAATTCATGGATGTAAATCTGTAGAAGAAAGAAAGAAAGAAAGAAAGAAAGAAAGAAAAAAAGGAAAAAAAATATTCAAGTAGGAAAAACAAATGGTAAGACTGGGGTTCGAACCCAGGCTGACTTTCGTCAAGCGGAGTTTTAAATCGTAACCGAATAAGTAAAATTCGGAAACAACTCTCTTAAGCCGCTCGCCTTAACCACTCGGCCATCTTACCAGCATTGTCTACGGATATATCTTATTTGCTTTGTAGCACATCTGGTTATTAGGCTCGGATATATCCGCAGGTAGTGGTTAGCCGACGCGAACCTTGCTGCTATATTGTTTGCTGTTTAGGTTGGAAGGTCTCTTTTTTGAATGGTGTATCAATAGTGATTGACGGTTTGTTGTACTAGTGTAGGTCAAATGCTTGTATTGGGCTGATGATGTAAGAAAAGGGGGGCAATTTCCATTTTGTAGCTAGGGTTGAAGGAGCTTTAATTGAACTGTAGGTCATGCAATAGAACGAGGTCAAGTCATATGTTATTTGACGAGCACCTGAAACAGAAAATAGCTACATGAAGTCGTAGCTTGTCAGATCATTGGTATCCGTATATGGGCAGGCGGCCAGCAGGTCCATGTTATCATTGACGAGATCCCAAAGCGATATGTCAGATGCGTTCAACCGTCGATAGCCAGTCTTGGATCTACAGTAGAGGCGATTGTACTGTGAAAAGTGGCCTTCGTGAGAGAAATCCCCCCAAGCAAGTACGGTAAGGTCGGGCAGACCGTCAGCACTGAATGCCCACTCCGCAAACTTGTTTATGCCAAAGGGGTGGTACAATGGGTCTGTCTCGGTGTAAGTCTTTGTCCCTTTGTAACCATAAACATTGGTTTTTGAAGTGCACTTACCACAGTAAGACAAGAAATGCATATTCACCATAGCCGTTCCAGTAGCTCTGATGTGTAGAAGCTTGCATGAAGGTCGAGTCTGCAAGCCTTGTAACTGATTGCCCTTGTGCTCTGGTTAGTGGTAGCTACAGGACATTCGATCACAGTATGCACATACTAGTTCAGTAGGTGGTGTAGAGGATCCAAAACAGGCCAACTGTTTGTCCTGTAATAATTGTTCCAGACCCGAAGGCCAAGGCATGCCTTCGCCACCGAGTATTGGGACACGTTCGTCCGCTAAACTATGCATGACGAGACGTGTCAAAGAGCCACAACGGCGAACTGTGCTTATAAGAGTTTCCCAACTGATAGGTTTGCAGACCATGAGACAGAGAGTCTGTAATTTCGGAGCTCTATGAATAAAGTTGCAGATTGCCTTGGTTGTAGTTATAGGCCCGCTGTTGGTAAGAACAAGCTCGAAGTATTTAAGCTCCGTCAACTTCCCATAGCTTGATACCAGTTCTAGCCACTTAAGTGATCCTTTACATTTCCGCAGTTTCAAGGTTTTCAGGCTCTCAGTACCGAACAAAAACGGCATCTCGACGTCGGCATGCTCAAACGAGATAGCCGACAAGTCAAGGTATTCGAGCGACTGCATGATTGTTCTTTCATTTCCAACCTTAGCGTTCATAATCCTGTGAACAAAAAAGTTGTCTGGCATTTCTTCGTCGCTCTGTCGGCGAAACTCGTCAGTCCAAAGACCTTTTGCACGATCCCAATTGTCAAGATCTAGGGTGAGCGAAAGTAGTTGATGACCATGAGCTTTGATACAGTCTTTGATGCTCTCGAAGTCTCTATACTTGTTCAGGCCCTTCCAGCAAAGGCTTCTCAGGTCCTGGAACTGCGCAAGATCAACAGAGCCTACATCTTTATTGCAATAAACATCCGTGTGGAGTATGAGAGATTTGACCTTCTTCTGCTTTCTGAGAAGGGAGAACTCATTAGAAGATAGTATCATATTTGGAATGCACATTCCAAGATTCCACCGAAAACTTTGTAATTGATCATCGACAAACTGCAAATCATTCAAGGCATGTATCAAATCAACAAGTGATTCACTATCATCGGGCGTCTATAGAATTTAGTATGCGTTCAGACTAGTACTGAAAGAGTAGATCATGGCATTATTTTACTTACCCCGCCATCTGCATATTTAACTTCTATTCCATCTCCGATATCACGTTCTAGTTCATGTTCCATAGATTCAGAGTAGTCAGATAGCGAGTCCTCGGGTTCGAATGCGTCATCATGTATTTCGTGATAGCATGTTCGATGGTGGATCGGAACCCTCAATTCAAGGTCTCGTATATGCGAAGCGTATCTTCTTGGAATTGAGTTTACAGCCGCAGCCAACTCTTTCAATATCGCTTCCGGATCATTGAAGACCAGGCACCGATAAAGGCGGGGTATAGCACAGTCCCGCAGGCGGGTGCACACCTCACATACTTGCTTTAGGTCTTTGTGACCAGTTACCTTTAAAGATTAGCATGCGAAGTCAAAGGGTTTCCAAAAAAACAGTTCCAATCCTCACATAGCTCAGTATTATACTCAATATTTCCGTGGGGAGTTTGTCTAGCATGGTGATGACAAGAATTAACTAACTTTGACGAAAAGGCACGTAGGCTTCAAGTCAATGTGAGAGTTAGTATGAGATGAAAATAGCAAGGGACACAAAGAACCCAGTGGGTCGAGGACTTGGTTGACGGTTGTGGAGGATGGTTGGTGAAGGGGGAAGTAAAATTGAGCAAAGCTGACAAAAGGGGGGAAGAGGTCAAGTGACTGCTGACTAGAAAAGCTAATTGAAGAGAATCATTGAATGGTCAGAAGATGCAGAATCTTGTTCAGAAGGCGTTTAGTTGGGGAGAAAGCAGTATGTTTAGAATGACAACGAGGTTAGTAGCACGTTTAATGCTAATGGGATTATCTCATAGGAAATTAAATATCTTGGCCTGTTGAGGGGATAATACGAAGGGCCATACCGAGAAACAACAAGATCTACATCATCTTTACCCTTCACTCCTTCTTGCGTACCCTTGGCTTTCATCGTTCTTGACATTTATCCCCCATTCTTCATCGATATCCACAACCCGGTCCAAGCGCATATCCGACCGATGCCCCGCATCCTATTCCTGGGACGCACAGGATGTCATTCAAGCTGTGTTCGGCTCAGCTGGGATCTAAATATCTCAAGCCACACTAGGTTATTGACAGCCCAGTATGTACGCATGATCGGGCTGTAAATTAGTAGACGTGCTGTTGTCGGCGCGTTGTCCTCCCCGCCCAATTCAGCCTCGCTTAACACCATTTAGCTTCGGCCATCATGCTTGCTTTTTCCACTATCGTGAGGTCTGCGTATCCGTGGATCACAATAATTTTTCACCTTCTTTGCCTTAAAAGAGATCGCCCGCTCAAAAGCTAAAGCGCCTTCAACAAGGAAGCAGTATCACTGCTGTGTCGATCCGCGGTGTGTGATAGTCCCGCTCCCAACCCGTACCTACATAGCCATTAGCCACCGCCAGCTAGTCCGATGCCCTGCATGATAGCCCGAAGCCCAACATGAACCGGCGCGCACTCTAGTTCCGTTTATTATAACTCTCGGGCCATAGCCTCCATGGCCCCGGAAATTTGTCTCAAAGTTTATTATACATCTTACATCCACCACAAACGACCATGGTGTCCCCCGCTCAAAGCCTTCGGGACCAGTGGAAGGAGCCATCCGACATCTTCACAGTCCTCCTAATTATCGGTGGAGACATTGTTCAGCAAGCCTTGGGGGCCGTATCGGGAGGATTTCTCACCCCGGTCGCATTCTCCTACGGATGGGTTGCATACGCCGTGTCGGCCCTTCTCTCTGCCACTGGCGATGGCCGGCTCATGCCTGAGACTCCTATCACTAATTTACGGGTGATTAATCTCAAGTCTGGCTACTGTCGCTGGAATCGATCATGGGTGCTCGGTCGGGTGTTTCAGGACTATGAGCATTGGATGCCGAGTGCGGTGCGTGAGCGATTGGAAGAGCATCCGAGTCAGAACAGTGACGAAGAGAAGAAGGTTCCGGGCTTGCTTCCGGGGGGTCGGCAGCCAGAAGTGGCTCTATGTGTGGCTGTCTATCACTGGTCTACTAAGGGGAACTCTTTAGCGCGTCCTGGCCATGACTGGGTTTGGTGGACAGGACTGCTGGTCTCACTCATTCAGATTGCCATCAGTTCTGTCCCATTCGGGATCTACGGGGACTGGCGAGTCTTCTTGGTGACGGTCAGCGGGACCGTCCTGGCATATGCCGCGGGGGCATTGCCGGGCTGGCGGAAAGAGAAATGGGCGTGTCGCAGAGGGTCAGGGAAAGACGTGGCATTGACGTTGGGGAACGGATCCACCCATGTGGTGATTGTGCATGGAGGCCATCCCGATGGACTGGATTTGGAGGACCTGGCGGGGGCTGAGGTTCGACACTCAGGAGCAGCGACCTCGAACCGTCGATCTATATCCCGAATGATCGAGTCATGTAACACGACACGATTTCTGATTACATTTCTTGCCATTCTCTGGCTCGTTCTCTTGATTACTAGCCAAGCCATCGAAAGTCATACCTGGTATCTGGTCGGCGTTGGGGGGCTGGGCATGATCCAGAATCTCATTGTCGCTGGGGCACCGCGGTTCCCTGAGATGCTGGGCATTCCAATCGAATTGAGCGAAAGCTCACAGGGTTCGCCTTCAATCTTCGCCGAGTACAAAGTGATGTACTCGCTTATGGAGCTGGAGCTGGGGTATAAGGGATTCGGAAGAGCACTCCTGACGGAGTTCTTTCCTGGCAAGCTGAGGGATTGGGAGGAGAAATGGTGGGCGCTTACGGACAATGAAGAGAGGCGAGTGATATTGGATGAGAAGAAAAGAGGTTTGCAACGATGATGTGTATTGGTTTTCTCCCATTTGTTGAATCTTGGCGTTTGCAAGATAAAGTAGTTGTTCCTGTGATAATAGATTGTGATATTTGACAACATTTCCCCCAGTGATCTTAGATTTTCCAGTCATGGCATTCGAGCAAAAGGCTTGTTGAGTTGCTCCACTCTCAACACATCACAGCTTTTTGAGCTGACCCATTTTCATGCATCGGACGGCTGATAGTACAGTCATTCTCCCAATAAGATGTTGAGTTCATGTCAACATCGGGTAAACGAGGCAGAGGCCCACTTTTCGGTGTCCGATGTATGCTTCCCAGCGCCAAGTCATTTCCACTGTTAAGCACTTATCCAAATCACATTGTCCCGGCTGAAACAACCCAGGGAACTGGACACATTCTATCGATCATCCTTTTCGTGCAAGGCTGAAAACCAACCTTGCTCTGCATTAGGGTCGTATTCTTCTAGCCTGCATACGAGAGGAGTATAGTTTCACGTGACAGTTAGGCCTCTAAGTTAAGAGTTGGGCAATCACAATCACATCTTCGTAACCTTGCTGTGGTTTACAGATCATTAATATCGATAATACCCAGGAAACATTATTCTGAACGGTCTGCACTTTGATATTACTAATTCTAGGCTAGATCTTGGCCGTGATATCCTTTTTCCGCAACAAGCATATTCCGTCACAATCAATGTGTGGACTCATACCCCCGTCAATAGTCCGTTTCTTCAATGCTTTTCGTGGCATGACGTCGCATCCTTCTGTCTGCCAGCGTTGCTGGAATAGCCTATTTTCCAGAAACGGTTTCCAGGTTGCCTGGAAGGCTCAGTTTCAACCTCACGTGTCGGGCTTCTCCTACAAGGTGAGTCTGGGAGAAATTGCCACCTCTGCCAAAGAGGGGTGTAAATGGTGTCAGTTTCTCAACAAGCAGATTCCAGCTCAGGTTGGGACAGATGGCCCTCTTCATGCTGAGGCAGAGTATACAATAGCTGTGAGATTCCGCATGAGGTCAGGGCAAGAACAACGTACCCTTCTGGCCCTCTCGTTGAATGACATTTGGAGTCAAACATTCGAGGTACACACAGTGAATGGTTTGTTCAATCTGTCAGTAATTGTACCGGAGTAGTGTAGCTAATTGTCGCAGGCGATAATGCTGCGGAATATATCCCGACACGCGAGGTCATTTGGCAGGTCAACTCCCCTGCTACATATGCTCATGCTGCTGAGCTTATCAGCGAGTGCACGACTGGGGGACATGACCAGTGTCATCATCGAGAGACCCTTTATCTGCCGACTCGAGTAGTCGATTGTTTGGATCCGGAGCATCCAAAACTTCATATCACTCAAGAGGGAGCGCCAGGGAAATACACAGCTCTGAGTTACCGCTGGGGAGAGGCCCAGCCACATCGAATGCAAACTCACAATCTCCAGTCATATTGTCAAGAGATCCCAGTCCATTCACTCCCTCAAACAATCAAAGATGCGATCCACTGCACTCAACAACTCGGGATCCGCTTTCTCTGGGTCGACAGCCTGTGCATCATCCAAGACTCCAAGGAGGATAAAAGTCGCGAGATCCCGCAAATCCGCAAAACCTTCCAAAACGCATTCGTGACTATCGTCGCGGCCAGCGCATCCCAAGTCAGCCAAGGATTCTTGCAAGACCGTGAACCCCCACCCAAAGCAGTTTCGCTACCTTTCCGCTGCGACGGTAACCGCATCGGCACGATGTGGATCAGGGAGGGCACAATTGATCCTCGTGAACCAATAGATACTCGAGCCTGGTGTTACGAGGAGAAGCTTCTTACCCAGCGTGCTTTGATCTTCACAACTCGAACCGTGCGGTTTCAATGTCAATCACACTACCTTAACATCGGAAACTCCAACATTGCAGCATGGAATGCAGACACGCGCCTACCGAGCACAATGATGGAGCCAGAAGAGGGGGACTGGGCTCCCCTCACGTACGAAGAGAGTTCTGCGATTACGATTGAAAATACGTGGGCCTCGGTCCTGGCGGAATACACAGCGCGCGATATCACACAGTTTCGCGATCGTCTCATCGCATTCTACGGCATTGCAGAAACATTTCATCGCACCTGGACTCATAGCCAGTACCTCGCTGGATTGTGGAAACATAACCTCCTCGAAGACCTCCTTTGGGAAGCTGATCCACCACTACATGCTCGACCCGAGAGCTATCGCGCCCCGTCTTGGTCCTGGGCCGCAGTAAACGGCAAGGTGCTGCGTGCGAATACTATGCATTTCTGGAGAGAAGATGTACCGGAATGTGAGGTTGTCGATTGCCAAGTTACCTTGGCGAATGAGAAGATGCCGTACGGTGAGGTTACAGACGGACGGTTGCAACTGAACGCCTCGATGAAGAATATTATTTGGCACCCCTCACAGGGGAAATTTTATGCTACCAGCCAGGGAGATTCAGACAAGTCGAAGGAACTACATCCGGGCACATTACTGGGTAAATGCTACCCAGATAGTTTGCAAGAAATCGAGTCGGAAGGAATGCAGCAGGCTTATGCTATTCCGCTGCGGTCTTCCCGGAAGACATACCATGTTATCCAAGGCTTAATAGTTGTACCATGTCAGGAGAAGCATGAGACCCAGTGCTTCCGCCGGGTTGGCAGGTTTGATATCCCGTTGTTGAAGCTCTGGGGTGACTTTGATCCTGATACATTGTTTGGATCGACCCGGCAGCCTGTTGTTATCATCTGATCATATCCCATTTTATCGTCAAGGACGTGGCTATGGCACTGACAGTGGCTGGTTCAATGTGAACAGTGTCAAAAGTGATATAAGTAATGGTTTGTCGAAGGAATTGTGTAGGGGCAAAGATGAAACACTGAGCGAGTAACCGCCCGGTCGGGCTCCCAATCGGGCCTTTTTAGGCGTCCCGGGGCTTGACCACTTCGGGTTCCCGACGGCGACGACACCCATACTTAACAACTATGGATGCGTCCGGAGCAACTGTTTTCATTTACTCGCAATTTACTATATTCGCACTAAATTAGACATCCAACTTGCGAATAAAATAATGGAAGACACGAGGAAATGGGAATATGAATTGTCAGATCTTGACAAAGGAGGCTTCACCAAGACTGTGAAAGCCGTCCTCTTCTATGATCTCCAGGCCACTGTTGACCCAGAGAGTGTGGTTTCCTCCTTATTGGAGGGAGTGAAGCACGCAACTCGCCAACTACCATTTATGGCAGGTCACCTTGAATTCAACAAATCCGGAAGGCTTTGCATCGTGACCTCCACTGACAGCGCGGTGGAAGTCAACGTACGCCGATACACAGGCACCGAGTGCGAGCCTTTCCATGACTTGGCTCGGCACTCGTTCTCTCCCAGCAAACTAGATTTGACTCAATTTCTACCAAAAGATCCAATCGCGAAGCACCCAGTCTGCTTAATGCAAATCAATCTCATTGAAGGGGGTCTGGCCGTAGGGTTTCGAGTGGACCACGCAGCCGGGGACTGGGTATCTCTCAGCACTTTCATCTCGCTCGTCTGTCAGAGCAGCAAAGCACATCAGGAAGGCCTGGACATGCCCACCTACACTCCAGACCTGAAAAGAGATCCTTACAATGCTCCTACCCTGGATACCACAATTTCGCAGCAAGATCGACTCGCTCAACTCCCCCTGTTCCACATCATCGAGAAGAGCAAGTTTCAATTCAAGCCACCACCCCAAACTCGCGCCGGCATCTACCGCATCACAGAGCCCACCATCCAACAGTTTAAAACTCAATGTGCCCCATATTTAGACCAGGTGGAATATATAACCTCCTACGACTGCATCTCCGCCCTCCTATGGAGGGCACTAACCCGGGCCCGCCTACATATTCACCCTGACCAAGCCAACACTCCAACCCGATTCGTCCACCCCATCGACGTCCGATCCCGCGACCCAGAGCACAAAACATCACCCCAGTACTTCGGCAACGCCGTAATCGGTACCCTCGCTGGACCAGTGCCCGCCACCACACTCATCTCCGAAGGGGACCGCAGCCTTGCCGCAGCAGCTACCAAGATCCGCCAATCTATCCACGCCGTTGACATATCTAAGATTGAACATCTCACGGCGCTGCAGACCTCACTCGCCGACACGGAGATGCTTATCCCGAACGCGGACTTTGCAGGCATGGATCTGTTCATGAACACCTGGTATGCAGGGAGCGCAGCCAAGTATGATCTGGGAGCGGCAGCAAGGCCCGTGGCATTTCGGGTGCAGGCGGGGGTGCCGGGGGCGTGCGCAATAATCCTGCCGGATTTATCTGAGGGAGATGCGAGAGTGTTTGAGGTCTTTGTGCAAGCGCCGGAGAAGGAATATGAGGCTCTGATGAGGGATGTGGAGTTTATGAAGTATTTCGAGCAGGTTGCATGAATTAAATCAAGGTATACTATAATCATGGAATGGGAAAAGGTGTTCTACAAACAAAACCTATGTTTCTAGGCAGTATTGAGTTGGGAATGGGATTAGGTAGATACATCGTCGCCGTATCGTTATCTGGATTGAAGAATTGCCAGCATGGTTAATCGTGGTATACAAGCTCTTGATTCTTATGGGAGTGGGCTAGTGAGGTTCAAAGGAGGCCTTTGTATGTATTGTTCTCTATGCCGTAGCGTAATGACACAAGAATAATGATATTTCGACAAAGAAGACATGCACAAATCCAAGGACATAACTAATACTTGATCTGAACATGGAACGAAACAACATTCAGGTAAACATAAGTACTCCGCTACCTATGAAGCTCGTCAAGTAAGTACCACACTTTACACTGACCTGCCCAACCACTCATGAAACAGCATTTCTGGTAAACATGGACAATCATCTGCTCATCAAACACTGCAGTTCTCCATCAATCAATTCTTCCTATCAGTCAACAAATTGTGTACCCTTCCTACACTGCATCAAATTCGATTCCGTCGGCAGCTCTCACAAACTACAATCTGGCATTGGCGACACTCCAGGATGTACTTCCGGTGGCGTTCTCCACAGATCTCGCAATCAAATGCTCGCCTTCTCGAACCTTCAAGACGCCGAAATCTGCCTCGGTGTTCGCACTCGTGATTCTCCATCAGATTTGCCCGCATTCTCTGAACTAGGATATCGCGGATCGGGGGTGCTAAGGGCGCTGGGGCCTGACGGTCTACAACTTCTGCCGCTCTGGCGAGTAGTCTTCCCTCGTCCCAAGTAACGCATTCGCATGTCTTCCATTGAAGACCGCAGAGGTAGCAAAACTCAGCGCGACATTTGCACCTGTTTAACAGGTAAGTAAGTGGAAGTGGGGAATGCGGAAGAAGTATATGCATACGTTATGTGGTAACAGCCGAACCCCAGGTCGACGAGAGCCCTGCAACGAAAGCACCGTTGCCATCCTTGAGTACTAGCTAGCGCCAGTGTAGCTTGCAGATCAGTATCCTCCACACAGTCATCGATGTGAAAAGCCTTTTTGCACATGGCACAGGTATTCAGGTTGCAGTGAGGACACTCAGCACGGCCGGCTATGATGTTTTGAGGTAGTATGAACTTGCCGCAGCTGGTATTGCTGCAATAAGTGCGGTCAGTGGTGGAGAACTCAATTTCCGCGCTCTTGAAATCAGAAATCTCAGTCTCTGACAGATGCTCCTGGGCAGCTTCTAGATGAATCGGTATACGGCAGCATCGTGGAGGGAAGAGAGTTGAGTCCTTCGTCGCTCTTAGAAAGACATCTTTGAGACAATCGTCACAGTAATTATGGTTGCAGTCCAATTGCTTCACCTTGTGAGCGAAGAAACTCTCGTAGCACACGCAGCACCGAGTCTCCGTGGCGGCGGGCTTCTCCAATTCCAAGGCCTGTCTTTCTGTGTATGTCATTGAGGGACCGGCGACGCCCTCATCGTCACTGGACTGGGGCTCTGTGGCTGCTTGAGGCTGTTCCACATCATCATCAGTTGTTGAAGAGTCCGAGTCATCGTTTCTTTCATTTATTCTGATTGCCAGACGTCGATCATCGCTTGCCTGAGCTTCTTCCCGTGTAATAGCAGCAATAACACGACTGTCGGAACGTACTGCCACAGCAATGCTCCAGGCGAGCTTGTTGTCCTCCAGTGACCTTAGATGTGCTCTCAACTCTTGGCGATATGCTTGTAGATAGTCTTCACTGTCATCGGCCCGACCCTTCCCTTTTTGAGTGTCAAGATACTCTTGTAACTCCTGAAGTTGCTGGGTGACAACGTATATTTCGTCGTCCATCTGACTGCTTGATTGGTAGTGGAGTTCCATTGTGTAAGGCAACTTTGAGAGACTGTAGCAGCAAGGCAACCGTCAGAAATGACATGGATGGCTGGCCATGCCTTTTACACATGATGAGGGATACCTTACTGTCAAAGTGACTGATGAGCAAAGCTCAGAGATAGTGATAAGATTTCTTGGATGAGTAGGTGATAGTCTTCATTTCCAGATGGCGTTTGTTAGGAGGCGAATGTGTTAGAGGAAATGGAAATGGGGAGTTTCCGTGGGAAGTAGGAAAAAACAAACAAAGTTTCAGCGTTTGTAGGTGCCTCAGTCACTGGACGTAAAGGAACTGAGATCCGCCCTCATACTCAAGAAGTAAGTAATGATATGGCCCAAATGGCAATGAGAAATTAGCCAACGTTTATGAGACCATACAGTCTCATGAGGTGAGGTGTCAGTCCCAAGCCACGATTCACATCAATGCTGATCGTAGCTTTCGTAAGTAGATAGATGGTCCAGATGGAAAGTAGATGAACAGCGAGTAGTGGCTGCGAGCATGGCCTGCACCTCTCAGGAGAGAATCACTGCGACTTGACTTGCTCATTTCTCCTTTTATGAAAGAGTGTAAGATCAATTGAGAAGTGAGGCCATCCGATCATCTATAGCACCTGTAATTCACTATAGTTCTCATCATCTCGTGGACTAGACTCCCCATCCCCGTAGCCTCCCCAACTCCCAGACTGCGCATCTCGTTGAAGCTCTAGTAATTACCTCAGGTAATACTTTTCCTTCAATTCTTTCCCTTCACTTCATCTTCACTCGAACTATCACTTGTGATGGGCATGACAGCAGTGTAAGCAACATTATATCAACCTGCTCTGATTAAACCCTCCCGTACAACATCACCAGTAAATAACTTCCACAATTCTGTAGATTCTCAACTCTTTCCACTCACTCAGCTCAACTGTAATCTCATAGATCCAAAGTCATCATAAGCTGACAGTTATCTAGTCAAGATAATCCACAGAGCCAAGACCTGGGGTAAGTAGATGATAGCCATAGACCCACTATATCGGCCGTCTCCACATTCTGTATGTCGGCTATGCTCATCACGAAACTGCCAGTGAGATGAGGGTGATTTCACCCATGAAAGCATGTTAAATCTGCTTTACTGAGTGGAAGATGAAAATGACCATCTCCCTGAAAATATCCAGAAATGGGATATGGCTCTAACTATAATACTGTAATTATCAAGCGGCGTAGCAGTCTCCCATCCGGATACCGTCCCCTAGACCAATATCCGATAGCCCCCAACAATGCAGAGCATCGCTCTATCACCATCATAAAAACAATACACCACTAGACACATCAATCAAGAAACAAATGAAACGAATACTTATGTACTTACTACATCCCCAATCAACCCCCGATCCCTTCCTACCCCTCCCCCCAGCCCCAGCCCACCATCGGAACCACCACCCACCCCCAACCCAATAAACCCCATCGGAAGCCCTCAAGGCGGTCACTTCCGAAGTCCCAAATTCGAGTGTCCCCCCAAGTTCGGGGGGCTCTCGGCCGTAACCCCGACCCGATGAACATATGGTACCAAACAATCCAAACACACCAAACATTAGTAATATTCAATTGCACTGTTTGCAATCAGAATGTAATTGGAGAACAAACATGCCAGTTTCCCACCGCCCAGCGATGAGAAATGCGGGGAACCAATGAATGAATGAATGAGCGGTGGAGGCACAGCACGCCATTATGCGAATCATTTGCATTGTTTGTTGCGCTGAAGACTGTCTGTGTCCCTCCAGGGCAAGTGGTTGTGGCATTCTTTCTTTGACTCCTTTTCTTGTTGATTATATCCTCGGGGTTTCTTTGAAAGATTGATTCATCACTGAAGTGTGATATACGTTCTGGGAGAAGAAAGAAACAATCATGGCAACGCATTTTTACGACCCCGCATTATCACCTTACAGTCCCATTGAGAGCCTGATGAATCCCTTGTCGTTTGTTTGGGAGTGGTTGGCATCTTTCAGGTCAGAGGGAGGTCAGAATGAGCAAGTGACGCCTGATTCAAAGTCGGAGAATGCTGTTGTTCTCTGCAAAGAAACATGATGTAACCGATTTATGGAACGTTGCAGGGTGTATAAGGCAGGTATGTCCCCAGAGGGAAGATTCTGGACTTTCATATGCTTATAGACAGAATCATGCTAACTTCACACAGTTCATTTCTCAGACACCACCCACGACGACTCCAACTATCTATATTTATTCTATGATACCCCGATCGATTGTGTACGAAACAGAGGATGATGTCATTATTGAATTCGGCGCTGTTTAGTTAATACTTCATGTTGAGAACTTGAAGGATATGGACGGACCATACTTGTTGCTGAGCTATCCTGGTGTTTCTTATTTAAGTGAGGATACTAGTACGGTTAATTACATATGTTAATACTGAACAATGCCGCATAAGGCATGTATGCTGTGGAACAAATGCAGGATTAGTGCTGCATACCCATCATCATAATCTCCTAGGACCATTATCAATGTGAATTCAGTGTAGTACCGCTGAACAATCAAAGGTCTCAGGATAACATGCTAAGAATGAATTAATCTATCCAACAAACACATGCTAAACAAACGATATATCTCGCTAGAAACCACAAAGAACACAAACAGACCCTCTATCATCGTACAAACCCCTCCTTCCAAAAGTCTAGTAGTAGTCATACTCACAACGAAGCCTTCTCAATCCTCCTCCCCAGCGCCCCCCTCGCCTCCTCACACATCTTCCCAACATCCACATTGGCAATAATCCCATTCCGATAGTTAATCGCCTCCTCGATCTTCTTGAAATCGCTTCCTACCCCATCAGCCCTCCACTCATAGCAATCGCCAATGAACCGGCTGCTCTGCACCAACCACTGAGACCGCTCGCGCCGGTTCTCATCAAACGCCGCCAACACCGCCTGTAGATCCTTGTGCGTCTGCACGCGCTCGTCTTCCAGTAGTGTCGCCAGCACGGCTGTATCCTCGATACAGAAGCCCGCGCCGGCGCCGTGGTGCGGCGAGGTAGCGTGCGCGGCGTCGCCGGAGATGCCGACGCGGCCTTTGTAGAAGGTTGGGACCGGGTGGTCGCCCAGGTCGAAGATGGCCCACTGTATACTCATCAGATTCTATTGTTCAAGGTAAATGGGGGAAGGGGGGAATGCATACCACGCTGAGCTGAGGATCAGTCAACTTGAGCAAATTGGTCACGTTGGGCCCGTAGCCGGCAAAGTCGCGGAGGACTTCATCGCGGGTACCCTGGCGGGTGAGTCTGGGGTACTCGGCCCATTCGTCGGTGGTGGTGTGGAAGGCGACGATGTTGAGTGTTTTGCCGGCGTTCACGGGGAAGGTGAGCATGTGGCCACCGGGGCCCATCTACACTTATTAGTATTGTTTGGTAGCTTTGAAGTCAAGAGGGCTGATCACTCACATGCATGCAAGAATTCGAAGCCAATTCCTCCCCAATCGCCTCAACCGCCTTATCCATCGGCACGAGACCCCGGTACGCATACTTGTGAGTATACGACGGCTTCGCGGAAGGATGGTCAGCACCGACGATAATCTGGCGCACCTGGGACTTGATTCCATCACACCCGATGACCAAATCAGCTTCATCCTCGGATCCATCGGCAAACTTCATAATCAGCTTGCCATCGCTAATGCGCTCGTGGATATCATCCAGGTGCTTGTTAAAGCGGGAAATTTCCTTGGGGACGAGCTTGATCATTTCGTCGAGGAAATGCGCGCGGTGAACGCCGTTCTGGCCGAGGCTGTTGGAGATGGTGAATTCGATTTTTTGGTGGCCGTTTTCTTCTTGACTAGTGTTCTTGCTGTTGTATCCGTCCAGATAGTCGAACCACACCTTTTGCTTGGTGGGCCAGAGGTTCCGCGTGCAGACTTTCTCGAAGGCGTTGTAGATGCCATCATGGCAGTATTTCATGGCTTGGACGGCGTTGGGGCTGAAGGAGACGCCGGCGCCTACTTCGCCGAATTCGTGCGCTTGCTCGTAGATGGTTACAGGGATGTTGCGGTGGTGGAGCGCGATGGCAAGTGTGATGCCTGCTATGCCGCCGCCGATGATGGCGACGCGGAAGTCTTTCTTTGTGGGGGACATGGTGTGGTGTGGTGTAATTGAATTGGAGAGGGTGTTGGTTTAAGGTGAGGTGGAAATGATGGGATTTAGCAGCGGCCAGGGTTCTCCAGGTCTTTTATCTACTAAGGCTAGAAGCTACAGATAGCTTGTTTTGAACGATGTCATTGCTGAGATGCGTGGCGCGGAGAATCGGATGCTGATGAGGCACGTCGGTACCAGGGGGACAGTGACCTCAGAGTCCATCGGATGCTGTCTGGCTGATCCCCGTGGGGCATCGGACACGGATATACGGCACTGCTGGCGCCGTAGCCGATGGACTATTCCATGATGCTGTCGAGTAGTGCTGATGGGTGATGTTATAAGCGGCAACGGCAAACAAGCTTGCAAGTGATCGGAGCTAGTTGGTAGCTTATATGGAGGATTATAGGAATGTTGTGAGGGTGCTGCACCTCATTTGCGGACTACAGTCGGTGGTTGTGTGACGTGCCATATCCGATGGTAGGTGCGCTCCCGCAATTCAACGGCCACCGCTATACAAGCTTTGCGGCAAGGCTGGCACACTTTTCTTCTTCTTTGTCTGTCTCGGATGGAGGAATGAGGCAGGTCAGCCCGGTATACGTGCGATTGTGCGATGTGATGCTGTCATTGTCTTGATATAGTATGGTCGGATATGGAAAGTATAAGGCACTGCCATTCGGCAGATACGCCAGTGTTTCTAAAAGTGTGATCGGCAGTCTTGCAACTGCCAATGTATACGCTGCAGTTGGCCGTGATGCAGTGCGACTATGATTGATAATATCCACGATGAAGATATCGTCTGTGGGATAGCACATCTCACGGTTTGCCGATAGCCGTTGTTGACCTTCATCGGTTGAATGACCAGACATACGGGTTC